ACCTTCCTGCTGACGGCGGCCAGTTTGTTCTGGGGTCCGCGACTTCCCCGCGTCGGAAGTGGGCGTGGGTTCGAATCCCACTTCTGACACCAGTTGTCGCGTATCGGGCTTATATCGCGACAAATAACTTCTCGTTGTATTTGTTGTAGCGAGTTTTATTTCACATTCGCTCATACAATCACCCAAATTACAATCTGACGATTACTGCTACCTGCAGTATCACAATTAGTACACTCCCAATGCCAGAATACAACTGACTGGCTGACTTTACGTCTTGACTCGGCGACTGTTACAGTACAACAACAGTACAACTCAGTACAACTCTGCGGTAGCCCCACTAGAACTCGAACTCGAACTGATCGATACGCACTGTGCATCCACTTATATAGCTGCAGTGCTTGCCTGTGGCGTAATGAGTGCCACGTCACAGTAGGACGTTGATTACGGTTACGTTAGCGTTGCGCGTTACGTCACCGCGTGACGTCACCGCGGAGGGGAGTGGCGGGGAGCGCTACGTTACCGTGGAGAGGAGGGGGGAGGGGGGTTCTCAGTCCCGCAACATGTTACAATATCATTTATTTGACTTTTATGTTGTCATTTCTCATTCATAGTAAAAACAATCCCTATAAAACTTAAATATTCTGTAAATATCTGCAATCATAAGAGTTCAAAATAAATATTCAATGTCTGTTTGTCCTCGAAGAGTTCTGTGACATTGTTGACAGAGGGGCAGAAACATGGCTGTAGAATGATCGAAAATTTTGTGAAAATTGTTTCACTTGTCCATATTTTGTGTGCCAATAGAGGAGCATGACCACTCTGTGAACCTTCTGGGAGGTGAAGAGGGAACAAAAGATAAGGAAAACTGTATGTAACTTCCTCTGTTAAAATCTCTGTCAGGTAGAAAAACAACACAAATTTTAAAACTCCTACTCATAACAGCATACAAATGGTTGTGACATTGGGAAAGATTTTTAAAAGTCAGCCTTTTTTAAGACCATAGTTAGGTGTTCTTTGCAACTAATTTTTTTCAAGGATGAATGTAATGATGACATATACATGCTTGAGAACATAAAGGTCATAGTTATTGTAAGCTGCATTAATTTGTGCCTTTGTTACTTTCTGTACTCTTACCAGAGAGAGGCAGAGAAGTAGAAAATAACCGCAAACAGAATTATTGGCTTCACATACTGTACATCATAATGTCAGACAACAAACAGAAGAATAGTTGTAAGCAATCATGAGAAGTTTTCCCACCAGATGACCTAATAACCATGATACCAAAACGGCCTTTCCATCGCATTCTAGGTATGTTCAAAATCCTATTAAATTTTGCCAGTCAGCCTGACCATAAGCATGCACCAACTTGAGAACTGCTGTCAGATTTTCATAAAACCTGAGAATTTTACTGTTCAACTATTTCAAATTTATTTCAGGTCAGGCATGTTTAACAAGGCTACATGTGTTTCTGCATGTCCCTAACTAAATATCTTTTGGAGAGAAAAGTGTTTCAAACAAAAGCTGTGGAGAAAAATGAAACACATATTTTATGTCCAATGCATTTCCTCTGTAAGCCTTACAATTTTGGGGGCAATTGAACAAGGGATGTTATGACTAAATTTTTTATTTTTCATATTCAGCATTCAACAATGTCCTTTAGAAGACAATTCCAGTAAAGAAAAAAACAGAAAGAATTCTTTATTGATTTTAGACTGCTGTAAAATCAGATTGTTTTATTCTTTAAATAAATTATTTTATATTATATATATATATATATTTAAATATTATTACAGTATAACTTTGGAGAATATATTATACAGTTTATATAGGAATCTATTTAATTTTTGTTAGGGAGTGTAATAACAGTAAACATTAAAGCCTTAATACTGGTTAGTCATTCAGTCAGTAGGCCTATGTATGGTTTTGAATTCTCATCAGTTTGTTCAAGTATCCTAAAAGTTAATAATTTCATATTAATTTAATATTTGTTTATTATTGGAAATATTCACCGTAGTATTAGTTATTTCATTTATAATAAAATTTACAGAACACTCAATCAAATATACACTGTATATTTTTACAATCTTGTTTCCAGAGCATTTAGCATCATTGCTGGTGGTTGTGGTCGCTGTTGTGAAATGTGTTATTATATATTCAGACCTTTTCCTCTTTAATACTATATAAAATATATTTAATTTTTGGAAAATTCTTAGCACAATTTGAAAAATAAAACAACAGCACAAGTTATTCCAAAGTTGTTCAGTTTTTCAAATGGTATTGCTTGTTCAGAAAATAATTTGCTGCATTTTTGTGTTTGATATTCTTTGAATTTAAATGCGGTCAAGATAATCCAAGTTAGAGAAAAACACATCTGAATGCCATGGATCATACAGTTCAAACGTAGGGTACCCATAATTCAGAAACCAGAAAACGGGACAAATGGCATTCAGTGGAATCAGATTTAGCTTATCTTGAATGTCTTTGAGTGAGGTATTATATTCAAAAAATTTTGAAATATATATATGTCATTAAGGACACATAATTTTAACAAGTGATACAGTGTTCTTAATACAGGGGGAAAAAAGTATAAAAGCTTTGTGTGATAATGTGTCAGGAACATTTGATAGTATTATCTGTAGATAATTACTTGCATGTAATGCTCAGTCCTACAGTTTTTCAAATAGAATCATCCAGACTATATCCTGGATTTTTTTTCCTTGGCACTACAGCTCCAGTGGGCCTAGGCCTACCTCCTTGAACTTCTCCGTTCACTTCATTTTTCTAGATCTTACACATTCGGTAGGACTCACTGGGCAGGTGATCAGCTTGTTGCAAGCCCTCTACTTGTACCCAAACAGAAAAACGCACACATGCCCAAACAGAAAAACGCACACAAACATCCATGCCCTGAGTGGGATTCGAACCCACGATCCCAGCTTCCGAGCGAGCGAAGACAGTGAATGTCTTACACCGCTCGGCTACTGTGACCAGCTATATCCTGGATACAGATGTCAAATCAAAATTCAGATCACTCTGTATTGGAGATTGGAGTATTGGAGATGAGGGAACACCTGATCTGGCATGTCATAGTAAGATGTACTAGAGGATCTCTTCTCATTAGGTATATATTTTGATTTGACTTGTTTGCTTAAAAGTAAATTGTTGGACAGGAAATTTGCAACAAATATCAATTGCTCATGAAGAAATCTGTACAATCTCGACAAGCTGGATGAATGATATTTCAATGCCATATTCAATTTATTGAAACATCTGCATTTCATCTGAAGTCAAGTCTGTTTTTATACAAAATTTTCCAGATCATTATGAAATACATATCAAATCCTCATGGGTGTCACCATGTTCAACACCCTGGAACTGGTTGATGTGTAGGTGCTGTAGGACTGCTATAGTTAGTGTATTCACAGATTGCGAAAGTCCTGCCACATATGGGTGATCCTACTCAAAAGTTAATGCTACACAATCTCATTGAGCTGGCTGGAATTATGGTAAAACTCTAGAATTGTATTTTGGAAGTGCTTGGTTCGATTTCAGCTGGAACAACCTCTATTCAGAATGAAGTCTGTCAGTTTTCCATTATCCACCCAGGAAATGCTGAGAAAATACCTTGATTAGACTATGACTGCTTCCTTTCCCTATTTCGCCTGTCACCCTACCATTTGACACTATGTAGTCTAACTACTGATGGCTTCATAAAATCCCCTCCCCCCCTTCTCTCTCTCTCTCTCTCTCACACACACACACAACCTCAGTACAAACTCTATTTCCCTGTTATCTATATTAAAACAAAGGATATAGATTAACTTTGAAAAGCAGAAATGCTGCAAACTTGTTCACGTAGCATTTCTTGAACACAAAAGGCCTTAAGAACTTCTAATTCTTATTTGTTCCTCTTTGCAACTTTGCTTTCTTTTATAAAGTCTTAGAAATTGTATCTCCAATATCTTTGTTGTGTAACGACCTCTTCCTTCAAGGATTTGATTTTGATTTTCCAACTTTTGATTTTCGTTGTTTAAGCCATTTCTGAAGCAGCTGTGTAGTCAGTGAACCTCCTGCTGGCATATCTTCATCGACATCATCATCCTCTTCCTCAACTTGTCGCTGTTTTTTGCTCTGTGACTGTCCAGAACTTGATGCTTGTTGGTGATGCAGTACAGGTGGTCTGGATGGTGGAGGTGGTGGTGAAGCATCTGCATAATCGCCTTCATCAGATGATTGACGGGATTCTAACCAACGAACATGGTGATTTGAGGGAGAAGTAGATTCTGACATGTCTTGTGCTGACTGAGATGGTGTCCTGGAGCGTGAATCAGGTCCTTGGTGAAGTGATGCTCCAGATTCAGACCAGTTTTGTGGGGACTGAGAAGGAGTTCTAGAATGCGAGTCAGGCCAGTTCTGTATTCTGGACCCTCCAGGTGTCACAGAATCTATAGGTGACTGTGATGGAGTTCTTGGTGATGAGTCTGGCCAGTTGTGAGCAGTGTGTCTTACAAAACCAGGGTCTGAAGGTGATGACGGTATTTCTCTTTCTGGACGGACAAGATTTGCATCACGACTGTCATAACGCCAGTGTCCCACATCAGGTGAAGGTGACTGTGAAGTACCTTCAAATCTGCCAGATCTTCCAGCTTCTATATCCAAACTACGGCTGCTTGATACTCTGGCTTTTCCAGCTGCTTTACCTCCAAACAAATACTTTTCTTTTTGTCTTTCATCAGGAAGAGTTTCTGGACTTTGTATTTCTTCACGTCCTAAGTGTTTCTGTTTTGGTTCATCCTCTGCTGCCATGAGAGTTCTTTTCCTTCGCATGCTTATAGCATCCTCTGAAGTGGACGCTGCTGACATCAAGGATAGAGGTTTTGTGTTTTTAGTACTTCCTTTCCCTGTTCGTTGTTGCTTAATTCTGTGACTGTTCTCTGCACTTCCTGGCCTCACTTCAACAGGTTCACCACGTTCTGTCAAGAGAAAGGAGACAGTTGGAATATGCATAATTTCATCAACATCACTGTCACTTTCATTGTAAATTTCTCTGGGCCTTGATCTGTGTTTCTGTTCGGGTGTAACACTTTCAGGCCTTTGACTGATTTCACCTTGTTCCAGGTATCTTTGTTCACCTGAAGAGGAGTTGCTATTTTCTTGTTCAGATGTGCGGTGACCTAGGTGACGACGACTGTCAGATGGTCTTTGGTCTCTAGTTGGAATATTGTGTTGATTGAGATACTTGCCTGAAGAAAAATGGCTAACTGGAATATGGCTTTCAGGTTGGTCTCTAGGAACTCTGTCATGATGTAACTCTAAGTCTGAAGGAAATTGTAGTTCCTGTCTTACAGATCCATCACGTGACTGCCTACCACGATCCACACTTTGATGTGGTAGGAAATTCCCATTGCGTCGATAACCTTCTGGTGTCATCTGCTCATCATGTATTGCTCTAGTTCCCATGCTTCTTCCATTTCCTTGGAGCATTAAGTCTGGTGTTGAATCTCTACCAGAAGGGTACCTGATGAATGGAGATGCATTTAAAGCTGGTATTATTTGAGTTTCCTGTCATGTAATACATACTAATTATTTCTTACAACAGTTCCTTAATATGTGCCATGGCATAAGTTAAATCGTGATGGTTTTCAAATTGTAACTGACTGTTGAGGTATTGCATTTGTTGTTTTTAATTCAAAACTATGTCCAGTATATTTGGAGTACAAGAGTTGCCACTGCAACAAGTGTATATCTCTGGACCATGTACTTTTAGCCCAATTCACATCACGACACCCTATTTTTTTAAGTACTGTCCTCACACGTTGGTGTTCCAAATCATCAATTGCTTGGTAAAATTTTGCAAGATGTACAGATTTTGGCTGCTCAGAAGTTTCAAAATATCTCTTACTGTACCCTAGCTTACACTCAGAAGTTAAGTGTATAGCCTAGACAGCGAAAAGAGCACCACTGTTACAATTGTGATCATACCTGAGATCATCGTCTGTTCTCCTCCGGGTTTTGAGCGATGACCTGAGTTCTCCAATAACCCTATCTCCATTTGGATCTCGATGCACTTTATCTAGTAGATCAACAGAATTGGAGGCAGTATCTGTCTGAGTTGCCTTGTAAAGCTGTTTAGTTTGAGGAGGTTTAGGTCTGCTCAGACCAATGTCCAGGAGAAACAACAGCCCTGTGATGAGTGCCAGTGTCCCTAGAACAGCTGCATTGTCCACCAGGTCTGGGGGCACTGAATCCAATGATGCATATACCAGGCTGCCAACAATAATAAACAGCAGAGCTCCCATCCAAAGGAAGAATTTTTCCTGTGAACCAGAGATAATTGATTGATAGCTTTACAAAATTTTGAAGTTCTCATAGCAGTGACTATGAAGGGTACTGTCTTCTTAGATGTTACGTCCTGCAGTCTCGTAGAAGTTTTCTTATGTTCCTTCAAAGCACGGGTAAAATGTACCAGGCTACATTCTTAACTACAGTGTTAGATAGTTTTCAGAGGTCAGCTTTATGCTCCTGTCACCTTTACCAAGAATATGAGTTGATAATATCCTTTAGCTATGAGACATATATTCTTGAAGGCAAGCATTGCCAAATGCTTCTACTGGAAATTTGACCTGATGCATCCAATCTACAGACTGTCTTTTCTGAGACAGCTATCATGTATTTGGTCTCCATGGTAATTATGAAGGGACCAATACATTAACAGTAGACTGTGGTATGAGATAAAAAGACATGTAGATGCATGACATGACACATTCATGGTAGTGTTATTTCAACACTGGACAAATTTATGTAGCTATTCGTGCTTGGCTGAATGCATATCCATATTGTGTACCATCAAGATAGTTTCTTGCAATTCATCATATGTACCTATCAAAACAATTTCTATATATATTCACTAGCAGACATGTTTTGCCTTATCAACCACTGCAGTGGTTAACGGACTACAGTCTAATAAGTCCTGAAGATGAATAATAAGCCAAAACTTATATGCTGTTGAGCTGAAAATTAAGTACTGAGGTATGTGAAGATGGTCATTTTCAAGAAATTTATCTTCAAATGTGCTTGAATTAAGAAAACAATGTCTCTTTGAATGAGTGTCATGCTAAGAAAATACAAGGTATAGAAAATAAAGCTCCCACATCATTAAACTCGGCTCTTGATGGAGGAGATGAATCATCATCCTCAACTACATTTGTTTCATCCTGGGAGAAAGAGTCCCATTGCCCACTGAAGAGGAGATTGACTGACCCTAGAAAAGGTCTGCATATGGTGGCAAAGAGAAATTTACACTGAAGTCTCTGTATACACTTGTAAAATTTGTGCATCCTTAAATATTTTGTTGTGGTAAGTCAGAATGGTCTGTCCACTGACTCATCTGGCTAGAATGGTTCCTCGGTCCCGACTGCTGTAATGCATAAAGAAATTATGTAACACATTAGGATAACCATCTTACATTAGCAGGATGGAGCTGTGTTCTACTAAAATGTGGACTTCCAGTCTTCATCTAGGGAAAACCATATAAACTCTGAAAAATACTGGGCCGTGGATCAGCACTTGGAATGCATATAACTAATTTATGGGGCTCATTGACTCACCATCTTTCTGCCATTTCTGAGCTCTCCACAGAGGTAACCAACCAGAAGACCCAGTGTTATGATGATGTAACTTCCAAGTACAACATCTGTAAAGAAGTCTCCATTTTGTTCCCACGTCACATTGTTGAGTAAAGGCCACTCTCGGGACAATTTCTTGAGAAGATAGAAGGTGCGGAAGGCCTCATCATCTGTCAGCCTCTTGTAGATAACACATGTGCAGCATAGGAGCTGTGGGAAAAGTGGGCATCTGAACCTTGAGCCCCATAATCAATTTCAATACACTTTAAATATAGATTGTGATGCATGCAAAAAAAACAATGCTATGTACAACATTTTTTAATCACATAAGTTAATTTTGCATTTGTACCTATGAATATTGTGACATGTCAAGCCGTTGTTGGGCAATGGGATGTGGAATGAGTTACCACGAAGACAGACTCTTTAAAAAACGGTTGGTTGCCAAGTTATGCAACAGTGGAAACACTTTTCAGTCTTTGGATCTGCTGAGCCCCACACTCTAGTGAAAGGACAGAGATTGGGTGCGCTTCAGAAAAGTGCTGAGAAGAATATTTGTGCCCAATTTAACATATTTTGATCACAAGACGTTGTGGCAAGAGACCGCAAGAAAACTAATGCATAAAAAACATAAGTAATAGTTCATGAAAGAGTGAAATGTCTTATACTGTGTACTTGGTTATCTAATAAGTACAACTAATAAGCCTGCTTAGTGTTTGTTTGTTTGTTTGCTTGTTTGTTTGTTTGTTTGTTTGTTTGTCCTTTTAGACAGAAGAATGTCAGAACCTTCTGAAAACAAAGATTTGAAAGCAAGTTGCAAAATATTAAACTAAACTGGGAAAAAATTCCTATACAACTCAGATATTTATTTGTCCCCTTCCCAGTAAAATAATGCCGTATTTTTTTAAACTGCATAAAAGATATCCCAAACAAAATTCTATCTTCCACAAAATAAAACTGTGCCTCATCTACATCATGTTGGCAAAGAAATTACTCTGTGATATTTCATATGCACAGCCACGAATGAAACATGTATATATGGCATCAGTAGTTAGTTAGTTATTGGAGAGGGTGGGTTTCCCCATGCACTTAGACCTGTAGTGGTGATTGTGCTTCCCTCTATGATTTCTACCAGCCTCTATATCCTACCGGTATTGGTGCTTACCATCAGTCCCGCCCAGCCAGCGAGACCGGCTCTACTAGCTGAGAGGTATCTATAATGCTTCCCCCATCTACCGGAGGTATTAGTGACTGCTGTTGGGCGGCAAACGTCCGCAATTTTGCTCAGTGACCTCCTTTGGAGGTATGAGGTTCTTTTACGTGCCGTAAAGCTACGACACGGGACACACGGGACACACGGCTTAAAGTCCCTCCCGGAGGACTTGTTCCCTGAATTTTTCTGCCCTTAAAAATTCGACGACCTCCGCCGGGTATTTGAACCCGCGTACCTTGAGTCATGAGGTGGGAACGTTACCTCTAGACTACGGAGGCCGCTTATGGCATCAGTAAAGTTATGGGACATGGGCTGCAAGGGCGACATAGATTCTGATAGGTACATGGTGTTCCCTGAGTGGCATTGTCTCCGAACAAGCTATGGAACTCTCTCAGTTTTATATTCAGTGGACAGTGGGGACTCTCCGCTTGGGACAAAGTGACCGATGTGCGAACCATACTCTCCACTATGTATATATATAGCCTAGATCTAGAATGTACATTCCTGTGAACACGGTACAATGCTGCGACTTTTTTTACGAGGTGAGCAACTATTATATTGTGATGGACTATGCTCCATTTAGTTAGTTACTGACTTATGTAGTCCGCTAGCACGATAGACCACTGTAGGTCGCGGTGCAAGGGCCAAGAAGGCCTACCCCTCATACATTCATTCATTCCTTCATGTAATCCGCTTATAATTATTACGACTAGCAGTTCAAGATTACGTTGGCCTCACTTCTGAACTTCCATATTTTCATTCAAAGAAAAACATGACATACTCGTACGAGTTTAATTTGTATCCACCAGGTACAGAAGCTATAGCAAAAAGACCATCTCGGATATCTGTACTGAGGCCGTAGACAGAAATCCCAGGTACATTTTGGATGCCGGCACTCAAGACTTCTCCCATTCTGTCTCTGTATTCGCTTTGCCTGCTGAGAATAGCGACGGCTCTCACTTTCACCAATATTCGTGTGATCACAATTACCAGACTGACTGGAGAAGCATAACAGTTCCAGGAATATGAAGATGGAATCGTTCAAGGGATCAGTACAGTCCCTACTTAATTTTGCGGTATCACTCTTGGAGTTGCAACTTCTTTTGCTGGTAGAATGTCGGTGTGCTAGGCTGCGGCTTCTGTATATCTACGTGTATAATATACTTGCTGCCTCAAGCCGTTCATGTGATTAAGCTGAGAAACAACTTTGCCCTGACGTGTGTGGCTGGAGGTCGGAATGGATGAGTGGGCAGACCTTGCATGCAGACTTACCTCATGACTACCTCAGCCACGGAGGTTAGCTACTTGATTAGCATCAATTATTACTCCAAAGAATGGACATGTTTCTATTGTACTGAGGGAGATGTTTTCGTAATACTATACAATTCGCATCGGAGTTCCCACAGGTCGTGTTGAGCGTATAAGAATGAGTATAAAAATAGGCAAAATAAACACAAAAAATTCAGAAGTCACATTTCTTTGTCACAGTTTTCTTATACAAGTTCTGAAAAAGAAAGCTATGACACCTGGCTTCCTTCGAAAACTTCCATCTGTATAGACAGTATCTGGAAATATAAATTAAAATCCATCTACTCTACGAACTAAGGTACGTCATACCATGTGTAGGCAACCTTACGGAAGAAAAGTCCCTGAGGAAAGTATATACACGTATGTCTGAATTTCCCCTTGATATAATAATATCGAAAATATGTAGAAAACAGATTATAATAACTTCCCAATTATAACGTAATAATCTACGTCACTAATTATGATCCGCAATTGTTCCATTAGTATATTGTGACATGACAACTGAAAGCCGGAATAGTTCATTGCTAGAGAACGGCTCTCTAGGTACGTTTCCGCAGCAATGGATAGGCTTGTGGGAACCAAAGCGTCTCTATGAAATTAACAGTCGTTTCTATGGTTCTATCGAAAGGTTTTATCACACATCTACGAGAACTGCAAAATTTTCGTAATAATTTCTTAATCCCTGTTGTTGTCACGTGGTGATTTCAGTTCTATAAACTTAATCTCTATTGAGTTCCCAGGGTTTCTCGATGTTCCTGCTGCGTTTAGATGGTGATTGGTAAGTGAAGGGTTAAGGTAGGAGTAATGACGACTCTTTGTAGAAAAAGAACTGGTTCATGGTTAGGTTTATCTTTTGTAGGGGGTAGGGGGCCACCAGTCATTCGGGAAGAGTCTCGGCTTGAAAGTTAAAGAACATAAAATGGAGAGCTATTCATAATATAGTCATTGCAATTCGCATCTTCTTCTTTTCAATAGATGTACACCATAATCACGAGCTTCTTTCAGCTGCCCATCACCCCGGTGTCTATATTGACCAATACAAAACAAATTTCGTGGGTGCGTGGGGTTTGTGTGGAAGAGAGTAGACCGAGAGAAAACAATGCGCATTCAGAGTCATAACCAGTCATTCGAGCTTCACTCGGGTCACGATTCGTGATAAATGTTACGGCGTCCTCTTATCACTAAACCGGTTTCTGCATACGTACTTTGAGAACACGATCCTTCAGCATGGCTTCCGCCTTTGTATGTGAACAATAGCAGTAACATACTGTATTTCTTCTTATTTTCTAACCGAACCTTTTGCAGGTGCTTAACTGAAGCTGTGGCAACACATGTTTCGTCCATCTAGCAAACACGAATTCGAGATTGTTGTGCCATATTGGGGACTGAACTGGTCATGTGTTCCGAGTAAGTTGAACACAGCTTTAGTAGAAATTATCTAATTGACAAACTCCATGCTGTAAAATTGTTTTTGAGAACCTGATAGTTCAGATGGAGAAATTCCGCGTCTTTCACGAAATCGTCTTCACAAGACACAGCCATTGGATCATATCATGAGCCAGATAATTCCAGTCTACACCCTCACAGCCTATTTCTTTAACATCTATCGTACATCCTCCCATCTACAAGCAGAAGTGACCTAAAATTACGTATGCAATGACAACCTTGCACGTTCAACAGTACACTGCGCACTAGACAGGCAACAGGCATAGCAAGAGAGACAACAGAAGGACGAACCACACTGGTTTCATTTAGAAACAGTGTAAGTACGGAACCACCGATAGCAGTATCGCTGGAGGCACAGCATTTCACTCGAATTTCAGCGCATCTGAAAATGGACGAGTAGGCCGAAACATGTAGTGCAGTGACGAATTTTAAGAGGACTGAATTTTAAAATCTTGATGTTGTTGCATGGTGGACGGTAAAGAGCTGAAAATAAATTCGCACGTTCTAGTTTTTTTCACATTAATTTGATCAGCATAATAATTTTTGATAATTAAAATAAAATAAAATTGATCATTGTGTTTAATTAATTAAACACCATACCATGAAGACGTATAGGAGAATGTAACTCTATTCTTTACCTCGGTTTCACGCCCCGGCCGCTTTAATCCAGATACCGATCGTATAGGAGGCTGAATAGGAAAGAGCTCCAGTCTGGACACTGTGAAGTAAAGAAAAATCACCTACTCCTGCCGGGATTCGAACTCCGGCTTCGAAGGCCTTAACCTATAAATATACCGACTGAGCTATTCCGGTAGGAGTAAAAGTTATGAAGCTCCTAGTTGTAATATTTTCCTTAATTCTCATAATACTCCCTCTGCCTTAATTCGCAATGTTCTCATCAGCACCCTGCTTTCAAACACAGTCACTTAAAAATGTTAACAATAGTTTAAATATCCTGGAACAACAGGAAGAGATACAAATGAAATGCATGATGACGTTTGAAGAGTAAGGCCTAGAGACATTTATTGTTCAGCTCACAAACTGTCATCCCCATAATTTCGAAAACACCAATTGTTTCTTACTTTGAGGGAAGAATACAGACCACACTTGCAACTAAGCGGCAAAATGCCTGTGAATGGGGGCTGGGATCCAGTGATCATGTCTACTGCGCTATACTATAGCATTTATCCAGAAAGGCTGAAGAATGGTTGCTTGCTTCTGGGTCAAGAATGAAACGCTTAACCTTCAGGATACGAACCACAGAGCTCTAACACTTTAAACACGACGTTGGTTCTAGCCAACTTCTGCTAAATATATTTTGTAATCTCCAAACAAACGTGACAGAGTTCTGCTACCTCTCCGGGGGGGGGGGAAGATCGCCTTCATAAACCCGTCAGCAAATATGAGAGAAATGATTAACCAGATAGTTAGACTACATATTAAATTTTTCATAGTCAAAAGTTGACAAAGAGAATAAAAGCGAATTTTCCATTAGCTCGCTTCAATTAGAGGTAAGTTACAATACCGAAGTTATGTCTTGTGAGTCAGAGACATTTCAGTTCTCTGTTTCACAGTACACAAACATAATTATCAGCTTTAAAGATATCTGACTAAGGTATATTGCACTAATTGTTTTTGTTTTTTTCCCCTTGGCACTACAGCCCCTGTGGGCCTAGGCCTACCTCCATGAACTCCGTTCACTTCGGTTTTCTTACACATACGGTAGGGCTCCTTGTGCGGGTGATCAGCTCGTCGCAAGGCCTCTACCTATAGACAAACAGAAAAACGCACACAATCATCCATGCCCTGAGTGGGATTCGAACCCACGGTCCCGGCTTCCGAGCGAGCGAAGACAGTACATGCCTTAGACCGCTCGGCTACTGTGACCGGCAGTGTATAAGAATAATATATAAGAATTCAGTTCGTACCTCACAGGAAACAGATCCGAACCCACGATCCCGGCTTCCGAGCGAGCGAAGACAGTACATGCCTTAGACCGCTCGGCTACTGTGACCGGCAGTGTATAAGAATAATATATAAGAATTCAGTTCGTACCTCACAGGAAACAGATCCGAACCCACGATCCCGGCTTCCGAGCGAGCGAAGACAGTACATGCCTTAGACCGCTCGGCTACTGTGACCGGCTACATACTTGTCATACAACATCCTAATTTCAAATAATGGACTGTATATTTTAAGCTAGGTACACGCTGAAGAGTTATATCTTCTGACACATAACGCCGTGTGGTTATGTGAAAGTCAACCAAAGTTTCGCAGAAAAAATTTGCCTCAGTCCTCAGGGTAGAAGAGCAAACGAAGAAAGAATTCTGGATTAGGCTTGCTAACCTCATTCGTACTAGTTTCTTGTTCGACTTAACCTTCGAAGCTGAAAACTGAGACGATTTTTCCTCCGAAACGTCGGTTGATTTGTACCGCGCTACACAGCGTTATATCCCATGATCACGGCTGTGAGAATCTCAGATCTAAATATGTACACTTTGTTCGTACGATTAGCCGTTTCTGAGAAGTGCAGTACAGTTTACCTTGAACTTTGCTTAAAATAACGTTGATATTTGTTTAAAATTAAACTCAACCGACGAGTTTTATTGTGGACTCGGTATCAAATTTCATCAAAAATTATTCAGTGGTTTCGAAGATGGAATATGCTAACAGTCAGGATCTTTCCATTATGCATTAATTTTATGAATTGATCCCACTTATAATAACGATCACCAGAGAACAGAAACTTTTTCGGACTTACACTTCTACTAAGAAACACTCTTTGCCTTCTAAATCATGATACAGACTATTAAAGCAATTTATCTGCCGACGTGAGTAGACGAACTGAGTTTGCACAGACATAACAACATGCAATTATCGGGTCAGACCTCCTCTAGTGCGGGTCCCGATATAATCAAAATGTTGAAGTCCCCACCAGTAACAAACTTAGGTTATGACAGTTCTTCTTATAATAACTACACATTCGAATTAACTTTTCGTGATTTTAGAGAAATAAATGGGGGCACACGGTAGCGTAGTTGGTTGAGGCACTATGCTACAAGCTTGAAGATCACGAGATCGAATCCCGATTAGGTGGATTTTTTCAATTTACTTAATCCTTCCAGCCGCATTATGGCCCTGGGGTCGACTCAGCCTCTAAACAGAAATGAGTACCAGGGATCTTACTGGGGGGTAATGATCGGCCGGCGCGTAAGACTGACAACCTCACCGCCATGTGTTAGCCGATTGCCTATAGAAAATATAGGATCCTCAACATCTCACAACCCTATGAGCCTCCACGGCCTGTTACAGGGATATCTTTACTCTTCTGATTTTACTTTTAGAGAAATAAATATTTCAGTAATATCTGTGGATACTATTTCTGTTGTGTGGATGCCCGGAGTGACTGCCCAGATCACTTAAATCTGCCCTGGAAATTATTAAAAAATCTTTTTGTGACTTACCACTTCGAGTACTTTAACAACCACTATCTTGTCGCACGCCATCTCGTTACCTTTCGAAACTTCAGCTATACTTTCTTGTTCCGCTGCAGTGTAAATCACAGAATTTCACCTTCAAAATGTCAAGGTCATCAAAACTTACTTATAATTTGCATTTCAAACCACATAAATGAACATCCATTGTAAAGCATAACAGTATGCTTCTTTCAGTTGCGGAAACATATAAAATAGCTTGGCAATTCAAAGCAGTGCCCGCGCTGTGATATCTGTATTGTTACTGAAGGATATTCAGAACCGCTTGTAGCAACTTTCCCACCGGTACCACTCCACGCCCCACCCCCCACACGTATGCACTGGAACGCGTTAACTGATAATGGCTTTACTGCTGTGAGTTGCAGGCAGACAATTAGACACGTGTAGGCTCGGACATTTGTTTCTTGCATGACCAAGTGACCGACTGAGCGGTGTAGTTAACAGCATGGAATAGAATCCTCCTTGAGAAGCTGATAGCCGCTCAGCCAACCAAGAAAGTCTCCAGGCTTTTACAAAACGCCTGTTCATTGCCGTGTTCACAAGGTCACGATTGGTTTCTATCCTGAACCAGATGAATCCACTTAACGCCATCATACCATACCCTTTAAGATCCATTTTATTATTATCCTCGGACTACGCCTTACCTCAGGCTACTAGTGGCCGACTTCTCACCGCGGAGGTCTGGGTATAATCCCAGAGATGTCATTGTGGGTTATTTAGTGCACAAAATGGCACTAGAGCAGATTTTTCTCCGAACGCTTCGACTTCTCTGTTCAAATTTTCATTTCATGAGTGCTTCATACCAATCTGTTAGCCGGAGCTGGTACAGCAGAGCACTTGTGATCGCAGTACCGAGGGACTCAGCATTGCCCCACACCTGAATTATTATTATTATTATTATTATTATTATTATTATTATTATTATTATT